TCGAACTTATACACGTCCGACGAAACGACGTCGTTTCAGGGCTGAGATGGAAAAAATAAATAATTTGATAAATACACATCAGCATGTGAGTTGGCAGCAGACGAAAAGTATGTACCGTTTTGCAAAGATTTGAAGGTTGTGATATCGTATGCAAAAGTTAAAAAGTCGTGATTATTTTGCAATCTCGATAAAGGTTGTGATATTATATGCAATTTTGCCTTTCATTTTATATTGTTCGCAAGAGTATTACCAAGTTTGAACTGGATATACGTGCACAATAAAAAATCATTAGTAAACAAATACAACAAAATTCAATGACTGCATACAACTTGCAACAAATACATATTTTTTTAACATATAATATAAATACACAAAGTGGACAGCCATACAGTCACAAAAAGAGTATACATCCCATCATTTCTCTTTGATAGTGATAGATTTTTTTTTTTTTTTAACAAACAATACAAATACACTAAGTTGATAACTACTACATTCACAGAATGAGAAAGGTTTCCACTATTTTTCTTGGATAATGTTAGATCTACATAATATTTTGTACAGAATAGTGTAACATACATACAATCACGAGTCCATTTATTTTAATTTCAATTTAAGATTGTGTATTACACAAAGCATTTCTCATTTTTCACTTTAAACGGTACTTATCTACTCATGCCCGATTCAGAGATCGGAGCCATAACGACCCCGCGATTCTGCCTCTCCACATTGCCGTGCCATCCTACAAAGCACATCAAAATCCAAAACGAACATTCAACACATCTAAAACTATGACTCGTAGCTTAATAAAGATAATAGCCAAAGTAGAGATTGCTTAAGAGTGAAATGAGTAAGATAATGGTGTTTGTTTGTTGTATTACCAATGGTCATGTCAAAGCCACGATTCATAAGCTCACGATACTCCTGGCAGAGGGCGCACGACTCACAAAAGCAGTGAACCAAACAGTCCCCACAGGGGGACTCGTGCAGCAAATACTGTTGCCTCATTTTAGACCGATAGAAGCACGATAAGCAACAAGCGCATCCCGTCACGCACATCAGCAGCGCGTATAATGCACCACTCTGCCCGCACGCTGCCTCCCAAAATAAACACAAATTATGTCCCTCATTAATTCAACTCAAATGCCTTATTTTTTTCTTCAACAAAATTTTTTTCAAATCAAACACTAAAAAATTATACATCTATATATTTGAACAAAAACTTTTCAAGTAAATGAAACCGGATCAGTTCCAGCTTCATGTCCACCGTGTCCTGAGATGACTCGCTGACTCGGTCGGAGAAATAGAATTATGTGGTAATATTATTAAATATTCTTCTCATTTTGCAAAATATGACATATGGTCTATTATTGCAGTACAGCAAAACGGCTAAAATAACATCTCCACGCTTTCTTCACTCAGAATTATTTCTAGAGTTCCAGCAATGATTTCTAAACAAAACAAAATAATCAAAAATCATCATCATAGATTTTTTTAGAGAGTTTTTAGTTCATTATCCCAAAAAAAGAAAAGCAATCCCAATTTATATTCAACTCAATTTTAACTCTAACACATCATCATCAATATTATCAATATAATTAAATAATATCAATTAATTATCCTTGGTCATCGTATAAACTTTCATTCACTATTCATTCATTCAAATATTTTTAACTATTCATAAGGAACAATCACTCATCTCCTACTTTTACGTCAAATCAAAATTAAATATTTTATTTTAAATATTACTTTAATACAAATTCCAAATTCCACTCAAATGTAACCCACAAACATTTTAAAAGTTAACACTCGTTAAATACCAAAAATAATAAAAAAAAAAAAAATCAATCAAAACTCAATATATCTATATCTAAGTAAGTCCAACTTTCTAACATAATTTTATGAATTGTGGTTTTTTTTTGTTTTGGTACAGGGACCTTCCGGTTTTCGGATCTACAGATGAACCGACTAATCCAGAATCGAGCCGGGTAGGACCACAAGGGCGACAAAGCTCTCCCTCAAGAGTTTTAACACTGCTGCATTTCCAGGGCTCGAACACGAGACCACTGGTTAAGCTGGAAGAAACCCAAGCCATCTCATCCAAGCGCCTTGGGTTATGAATTGTGGTTTTCAAACAACAACAATATTATGGATATAGATGGGTGGGGACGGATATGGGTTCTAACCCGACCCACATACATTTAAACGAACCCGATCCTCTACCTTCTTATTGGCCTTTGATTTTGGTTCGGGTTAAAATATTTATGGATAATTCGATTTCATCGAATGGATTTATTTGGCCAAAACCCAACCAGACTCAACCCAATTCCAACAATCATAATAAAAAGAAAGTAATACAGCCTACAACATAATTAATTTGAAAAATAATAATAATAATAATAATAATAATAATAATAATAATAATAATAATTTTCTGACAAATATGATATTTCTCCTTGAAGAGAATAGTTAGAAGGGGACTCACAGCTTGATCCTTTGTCAACTATCTCAGCGACCTGCCCAAAAGTAATACACGGGCACCACAACGTAACACAACCTGATACATATAATTGAAACATAGTCAACGCGTGCTACCAACGCGCCGCCGCCGTAGCACAAAAGATTTTGACCATATTACAAAAGTAAACTAGAAACTTACAGTTGTGGACATCGGAACCGCAATCACAGAGCCCCGTGGACCAAGGGACCTGAGGCTTGGCTTGAATATAAGGCCGGGCCTCATTCGAATAAAACTCGGAGGACGAGCTCACCGGAATACCGGTAGCCGGTGCCGACGGCGGGGATTTGGCTGCATCGGAGAAGTTCGAGGAGTACATGCCTATTAAGAAGATTTTCGATTAAAGAAAAAAAAAAAAAAAGAAGATATTTGTGTGTTATCTTGAGCTCTATGTATAAAAATGTATTAAGAGATGTGGATGAGATGTTTATTTAATATTAATCAATGAGTCGCATTCTTGGAAATTTCAATGACATACATATATACAGTACGCGTTTTGGACCGTTGACTTCACTGTGGTATCGAGTTTCCGTCAACTCCATTGGGTTTTAATACCTACTAGTACAACGCCCGTGTATTACACGGGTGCTTGTTAATTTTTTACTTAAAATCTAAAATTATTGAGAAAATGTAGTTGAAAATTTAAATAACTTTTATAAAAATATATATTATTATATATTTAGTATGACACTTTTTATTTGTGTGACTTACTTGTGTTATATTATACTACCTCCTATTTTTAATAGATGTCGTTTTGAGAAGTTGCACATTAATTAAGAATATTTTTTTATGTCAATAATAACCTTATTTAATGAAGATAGAGATGGATGTTTTGAGAAAAAGTGAAGAGTGTATATGAAAAGACGTAATGTATTTATTAGCTAAATGAGGGTAAAAATAGAAAAATATGTACAAAAGATCCAAAACGACATTTATTTAGCAAATAGTTGATAAAGCTAGAATGACATCTAAAAAAATAGGAGGGAGTAATAATTTTTTTAACTTACAACATATAACTACATTAAACAAAAATATATCAACTGAGAAATAATTTTATTTTTTTAATAAAATTTAATAAATATTATTTTTTATTATTATAAAGGTAAATATTATTTATTTATTTTATATATACAATATGATGTCAAATCGAAGATAATGAAAAGATGATTAATTTGATATATTATATATGTAAAACCAATAAGAAATACAAAAGTTATCAACTTTTAAAATACATTTATAATTTAATAGCTAATTGAAGGAAACAAATCAAAAGTCAGGGATATATTAGTAACTTAGTGTCTCACTATGTAAAATTACAAAAAATTAAAGGGTTATATTAGTACAAGTGAGGGTTTATTGCACCAAACCCCCCTGTATTATACGAAATCTGTGCGTTTTCCCCCTGTATTTTAAAAATTGCGTCATACCCCCTTGTATTTAAGGTTTGCATGCACACTCTCCCCTTTTACTGTTTACCTGCTAACGGCGTTAATATTTTTGTAAAATTCCCGTTATGCCCTCCGAATATCCTCCCTATATATAATTGCAGAATGCGCTGAGCCTACGTGGCTGCTTCTGGTGCTTCGGAATCCTATTTGGCGAAAAATCATGCTTTGTAATTAGGTTTGGATAAATAATATTGATATATTAATAATTAATAATCTAGGTTCGGGTATTCCATAAATATTATTTAGCTAACTTAGGTATTTTAAT